GTGGCAAGATGGCGAATCAAGCAAAGGAGCTTGCTACGCTGTCCTGTGAAAAGTATGTGGCCGGCAATGGCCCCAAGAGGAAGAAGATGCTGGCAAGGCTCCGCGCTTGTCTCAACAAAGCGTCCATCAGTGATGCTCTCAAGGATGGTGCCCGTACAGTTTTGAACATTATTGACTCAGGCAAGGGAAGCTCCAAAGACACTGCGCCCAAACACCATATTGAGGCACTTGTCTGGCCGGTAGATTTCACGGTCCGTTTTGCTTGCACGAGATGCAAGCGGTGCATGAAGGACGAGAAACATTTCCGTGGAATGTCTTGCGCCAACAGCACCGTTTGGAACCAAAAGAGAAAAGGCAACAAAGACGCCTTGCTGGAGCTCGCCAACAAAGAACCTGGGGCGAGGCAGAGAGCGGCGCTCCGTGCTTTGGAGATTTTGGGGTTTCAGCAAGAGGAAGGTGATTCTACGGACCAATGACGGGTACGTCTAGCACTTTAAGGTTGGGAACTATGAATGTCCGGTCATTGAGTGGCCGGTTGGGTGGCGTTTTTGAGTTAGCAAAGACTGAGCAGATCGATGTTCTTTGTTTGCAAGAAACTAGAGTCAATGTCGACAGTTGGAGCGCTGTCAAGTCAGCTGCAAACCAGCGAAAGTGGCAAGTTTTTCCTGGCGGCCAAGGGGTAGATGCCAAGAATGTGGTGATTGGCGGGACGTTAGTTTTGTCAAAGTGGCCTGCTGAAGCGTTGGCCATTCCAAGTCAGTTTGCACCGGCTGACCGTGCCATGGCGCTGAAGCTTTTTCGACCTCACCAGCGACCGCTTCTTCTGATCAATGTGTACCTACATGCCAACGATCAAACAGCTGCTGGCCACGCCTTGGCTGCCATTTTTGAATACGTTGCTATGCTGGGCGAAGAAGCAATCATTGTGGGCGATTTCAACAGGGAAAGGCATGTTTGGCCGGCCTCCACCGCGCTGGCGTCGGGGCAATGGTATTCTTGCGATGAACAAGTCTGCGGAGACCAGATTGGCCCTGGCACCCATCGCAACTCAGATGGTGAATACACAGGGGTGGTCATTGACTACGCGCTTTCAACTCCCAGAGTTGTTGTTTCCGGAAGAATGCAGTCTTTAGGTGTTGCTGACCATGATGCAGTCATTTACGATATACATGTGCATGGTAGCTTACCCACGCCTTGGAGATTGCCGGCAAGCGCACCACTCTTGCTTTGCAATGTGGAGGTTGAGAACTGGAATGTTGCTTGGGCAGAATCACAGCAAGATTTCACCGATGCTCTGGCCGTCGGAAATGTGGATCAAGCTTGGGTGGTCCTGAGCAACTGTGCTGAATCTTTGCTGCTTGCACAAGGCAAGCCCAGCAGGGCATCAAGGGACGGCCCGCACAAAATGGCGAGCCCCCCATCAACCAAAGCTCCTACGTTGCAGACTTTGGAGGAGCGAAAGCTGAGAAGATTTGCACGGCGGGTGGTCGAATATCAAAAGGCTCCTTCGCCGCAATTGCAAACCAAGCTGTTGCGCGATGCTCCGCTTTTGCACTCGTCTCTTACTGCGTTTTCTTTATCTGATGGTGGTTTGGCTCCCGCCGCTTTGCTTCTTGCAGATGAGGTGGCCAAAAAGGCGTCTCAGCGACGCCTTGCTGCTTGGAAAGAGGACATTCAAGAAAATGTTGCGAAACTGGGGAAGTGGGTTCAGCAAAAACCACCTGATCCACCTACAGCAACACAGGTCGATGGTCCTATTTTGCCTGAAGATAAGGCAAGACAGGAGGCAGCTGCGTGGCACACGCATTGGAATCCGGACCACCTCCCACATTTAGACCAGGTTTCAAATTTGTGTTTGCAGCTCAACAATCAGGTCGACCCAGTCACGCCTGAAAGCATTCAAGTGGTTGGGGCTGATTTGGCGCGTTCTGCGTTGAAAGCTAAACAAAAAGCGGCTGGTATGGATGCTTGGACTGCGGCTCATTTGTGCAAGTTGCCGGAGTCCTTTTGGAATCACGTTGCAGTCTTGTGGTCGGCGTGCATGCAGTGTGCGAAAGTTCCTACAATGTGGAAAGATATTCGCATAGCCTTGATTCCAAAGGCGGCCGGGGGCCTACGCCCACTTGCCATCACGACGGTCCTGTGGCGCATCTGCATGAGTGCAACTTTGCAAAAGCTCCGACCATGGATACAAGAATGGGCCTTGCCTCAGCTTTGTGACGGCCGTCCAGGAAGAGGCATTATGGATGTTCATGAAGTGCTCTACGAAGACATTCGTGCTGCCAAACGTTCAAGAGTTGATTTTGTTGGCTGCAAGGCCGATATCCGTAGGTGTTTCGATTCAGTTTGTCCAAAGACTGCACTTGCTATTTGGCGCTGGTTGGGTGCTCCGGCCAGTTTGTGTGACATGGTGGAAAATTTTTACACTGACCAACGCAGGTGGTTTGCTTGGCAAGGCATTTTCCATTCAGAGCCCATTTGTGCTCGGCGGGGGCTGCTGCAGGGCTGCCCGGCAAGCCCAGCCTTACTCAATGCGGTGATGGTAGTCTGGGTGCGCTTCGTTCTTTTGCAAGAGCCTCGTGTTTCTCTTGCAGTTTATTTGGATGACCGCACAATGTGGAAGAAAGGTGTCAACGGCATTCACGTGGTCACCAACGCCATGCAGGCAGGTGCGCAGGTTGATGCAATTCTGGGCATGGAACTCCATCCTGACAAGTTAAATAGTTTCACAACCAAGCAGCATTTGACGCCTCAGCTGTCACAGATACAGGACGTGTTGGGGGCTCCTTGCAGCAAGTTCACGCTTCTGGGTATTCAGTACAATTTGGAGCGTGCAGGTGCTTGTGTTAATGCAGAGAAGCTTTCCTTTGACATTCAGGAGAGGTGTCGCAAAATCAGGTTGGCAGCGAAACGTTTGGGCACCCGCAAGACCTTGCTGGGACAGTTGGTGATCTCTTTGTTTGCATGGACAGGAGCTTTTCACCACTATGATGTTGATACCATCAAGAGTTGGACCTCCAGTATTGAAGCGGCGGTCTGGGGGCGCAAGCCTGCCCCAGGTCGCAGTAGATTGCTGTTCTGGAACTCTTTGGGCACACCGCGTTTGCATCCTGCTTTTGCGCTTCACTTTGCTGCAGCCCGGGCTGAATGGCAGCGCCAGTGCCGCTTGGCCATAGGTGTGCCCGCCGCTGTTTCGCCAGGCCCAAGGTGGAATACTGTTTGCAAAGACTGGAATTGGCGTGTTGAGGGTGGTTTGTGGATCACTCCCGTGGGACTTTGAAACCAGGGTGGATGTCTTCTTCAAGCTTATACAAAGCTGCTGCTGCAGCATGGCTGGCTTTTATGTGGACGAAGGACACTAAAACGGAGGGTCCTTTACCTGAAGGTAAGTTGCCTGTGTTCCAATTCCAGGCCAATGTGGCGCATGATTTGAACTATTGTGGTCGCAGAGTCTTGACAGGTGCAGCAGTGGATGGGAGAGTTACTCAACGTTTGGAAGTCGACTTGCAGTGTGATTGTGGTTTGAGCTCTCCTGATCGTGAGCATTTCACTTTCTACTGCGAGGCAAATCCTTGGCATGGTGATCTCAAAACTCCAACTGAAAGGCGGTTGCTTGTTCCTCTTGTGGATGCTCCAGCTGTTCTTCCATTTGAAGATATGACGGCCGACCCCATTCTGGTGGCTTTTCTACAACAGTTTGACCCACATCAAACGCCGACTTTGGGCTTGGATGGAAGTTGCGCAATCGCTCCAGGGTGCGAACTTTGGCAGCGTGCCAGCTGGGCTGTGGCGGCACATCTCGGGCCCACGGTCAATGGGTTGGTGCATGGTTTCGAGCAAACTCCTGCTGCGGGCGAGAGAGGTGCACTTCTTCAAGCCTGCTTGGCTTCCCATGAAGCGAACAGAGCGGTGCGCTTGCTGATTGACAACCAAGCTCTTGTGCAACGTCTTCATCGTGGCATGCGGCTTGGTCAGTGGGGTGGAGATCTTTTTCCATACTGGCATTATATCAGGATGCTTTTGGTTGATGGCTCTTCTTGTGCTTGGATTCCCTCGCATAATAAAGTTCCTCGATGGCGCCCACCCGAAGGGTGGCTTGATGTTTTGCGTTGCCGCATGCTCAATGCCAAAGCGGATGCTAGCGCGGCTGATCTTACAGGTCAATTTCGGCAGGTGATTGCTACTTGTTTGTCACAACACAGAGAGGCAGTTGTTTGGGCTGGAGAAGCTTGGAAGGCGCAACTAAAGGGTTCTCTTCCCTACTGGCAAGTTTTGCTTGAACACGAACCACGTCAAAACAGGTCGTTTGAATGAGCGCTTGCTGCTTCTTCAGCTGCATGGGTGGTACTTTTCTTGGCTTGAACTTGCCCTCCGGTTTGTTCAGTGCAAAGAGCTCCGGCTCTGCGTTGGCAATTTCGGCGTCTTAACTACTTCACTTCGGTGAGGAGCAGGTTGACGTCCTCCTCCAATCCAATCCAATCCAAGCACATCTTTCGCCCGCATGTGGTGTTTGTTCCACTCCGACGACTGGACCCTGAAAATCAGGCCCATCAACCGCTGCAATGCCCCAACTCGCTCTTTGCCAGTCTTCTTGCCCAGCAGGAGTCAGAAGACAACTCCCATCGATAGCCAGCAGAGGATGGTTGGAAGGATGGCACTTCAAAAATTCAACCAACTTCATGTTCGGCTCAGGCAGACTAAAACCAACATGCTCCGCTTGGGGCACTAAAGCTACAAGCAGTCGACGCTCATCACTGGACCGTAGTGGTAAAGACCATGCTGCAACATCGCAATGGAAAGTGACATGCTCCCTACTAGGCGTTGTTTCACCACAATGACAAGCCATTGTTGAACCTAAGCGCTCCAGAACCCTTGCATCAATGGCTGCGCCAATCAAAACCCGCTTCTCATAGTAAGAAAGTTCGCCTACTCCATGTTGTTGGATGTGTAAAAGAGGAAACTGGCCACTGAGCGGCTCAGTGGTTTTGGTGTCAAGCTTCCACATGGAACGCATCCAAGCAGATTTCGCCAACCTCTTCAATGTCTTGAGAGAACACCAACCTGTTGGGCAAGAGCCCTCGGGGAAAACCCACATGCTTCCCTGTGTGATGGACCACTGCCATTCTTGTAAAACAAGTTTGATCTGCGGCCCACACATTCTGTTTGCTGGCAACCCCACTTGAAGTCTGCAGAGCCGGTTCCACTCTGCTTTAACGGCAGTAAATGCAAGGGCAAATCCAGGGTGCAGATCTGGAGTGCCAACTGAATGCCAGAAAAGAAAGCGAGACCGCCCAGAAGCTGGACGGCGCCCCCACAGTGTCATTTCAATCATCATGGTCCACTGATTGATGACCTTCTTGGTATACCGATGCTATGACCCTGTCCAAGAAAAAGAGACATAACCAAGCCTTGTCCAGCAGGACCAACCTTGGAATAGTTCCAATGGAACATCAACGAACGATGAAAGCAGAAACCAATGAGGGCATGTTTGTACAAACTGAAGTTGAAAAGTCACGGAATATAAATGTGATTTGTTCCTGCGTTGGGGTGCCATAGTGTGATTGAAAAAAGTATCCCGGCAAGAGACCCCAAACAGTGTGGAGGAATGGGAGGATAATGTATTATGATGATGATGATGAGGAGGAGGAGGAGGCGGACGATGATGTTGAGGATGATGATGTTAAGGATGATGAGGTGCAGGAGGATGGCTCGGAGCATGATGTGGAGGATGAAGATGTGACGGGGGAAGAAGATGATGATGTTAAGAATGATGATGTTGAGGAGGAGGAAGATGATGATGTGGGGGATGAGGATGTTGAGGAGGAGGGCCGATCCTAAGACCCAGGACCACACTTTGTGCGTGCCTGCGCAGCCGAAATGCATGTCAACATGTGACAAGAGCCATTTTGTACGGAAATTTACAGGAAAGGTGTCCGAGCCCAGAACCTAGGCGCACACTTTGTGCGAGCCTGCGCAGTCAAAATGCACTTGGAAATTTCACAAGAGCCACTTTATACGAAAATTTACAGCAAATGCTCGCGCCCAGAGTGACCACCCTGATCAAGCACCGGCCTTTACTCCGACCGTAAGAACCCCTCAGGGTGGACACACTGTTTGGGGAATATTCGTAACTCAAAAAGAAAAGCAAGTTTGCGAGAAAAAACAGCGTTATTCTCCCAAATGAGGACTGCATGTCTGCAGCAAACTCCCAGCAGCGAGTAATATATCTGCCAATAGGTTGATATTCTAATTTTGAGGTAATTAAGTCGTTTCCCAAGGTCACGATCCTCGGCTATCGGAAGAAGAGCTCGCAATTGAGCATTAACATGCATTAACATTGTAGCATTGAGGCATAGAGACAGCAACTAATTGTTTGAGATCTTGTATGGTGAGCAATGAATAAAACGGATGGAGAAAATGACAAGGTGTAGGGAAGTTGCGGGACCGAGTAGTCGTAGCCGGTTCAGGCCCATGGGCGCAGGGGGGCCCTCTTCCAAATGATGAGAAATGGGAAGTTGATAGTCCTAAGAGTTTGCGAAAGTTTCGCTGAACAAAAAATGAGAAAGTATCCGCGCTCCCCGCATTGCAATTGAAGCCTGCTTGCCATCAAAAAACATTTGTCCAGCTTCAGCCAAATGCGTTTCGAAGACAGCTTTCAACTCATCACTTCCAGTCTTGGTGCCCTCGTCCATGATCCTATACCTCAGCACCATAAACAGGGCTCAACTGGGGCAAGGGCCCAGAATAAAATGACTGGTGATTTTCCTGCCATGATCATCCATGATCCAACTTTCCATGTTGAGCTGTAGCAAAGAAACACACAAACCCAAACAAACCCAAACGGCCAAAGGCACTGGTTGTTGCAAAAGAAGCAAACCCAAAGGAAGACATCGTCAGGAGTCAGTTGAGACCTCCGTAGCCAGGCACTGACTGCGCTCACAAAGTCTTGGAGTGTGTAGCCCCAGCACCAGGAGACGAAGTGGGTCACCTTGCCACTGTACCTGCTGTCGCATCACGTGATCCCTTGCCCCCCTTCATAGTAAATCTCCCAACTCATATAGTTGCATAGTTTGAAGATTGCTTTATATTGGGGTGAAGATAAGTTCTTGCGGCTCTTGCTGGAAACAACTGATTTTTACATCAGTTTGTTTTGGATGCAAACCACTGGAATCGCGGAGCGAAATGTCAAGTCGCTGGTCTTCCAGGGCATCCAGCAGGCTGCAATTGGGTCGACCATCTCTCGGACAAGTCTTCCTGAGAATCGAACTCTAGTGTTTGGTCTGGTTTTGAAGCGAATAACGTGTTTTTTCAGATGCTGTTTAAGGGTATTGACTGCCGGCAAACAAACATAGCAATGGAAAATGCAAATCCCAAACCACATCTTCAGCAATCTCCGAGTGTCCTGAAACCCAAACCGTGCTCTCCCAAGGCCAAGCGTGGGCACATCGCATAGAAATCGGGGTTCTGTGCGCCAGTAGCACTTCGGGCGAGAGGTGGAAAAACATCCACAACATATCTGACGGAAACCTGCCGGAGCCAAAAGTGGATGTTGGTGTGGTTCTTTCGGATCTAGATGTACAAGAAAATTTCTTTGCTTGCTCAATACTATCTATCAACACACATGTTCGAGGAAAGCCCTGGTTCATTCGAGGAAAACCCTGGTTCATCCCTATTGGTAAAAGTAGCACCCAAGAAAGGATTCCTTTTGCCAAGTAACCCCAAGAGTAGGCGGCTTCAGAGGCGGCACTGCACAATTGCAGCAAAAATGGACATTGTGCTCGACGCACTGCCAGTGTTTTTCGTTCCCAGATGACCTGCAAATAGAGCACTTGTAGCCTCAGTGTCCCCAGCACACTCTGCTAAAACGTGTTGCAAGACACCCTCTGACAAGACACTTTTGAAGGACGCCGTTTTACGACACTTTTGCGGATGTTTTTACAGGATGCATTTTAAAAAACTAGTGTCAGAGACTAATGCAGGAACAACTTGCAAAGACACTGTTTTAGAATATACTTGAAAACTACCTGTAGATTTCTTGTAAGATACTTCCATTCAAAATGTTCGGCATGTTTGCAAAACACTCTAATGCTGTACATGCCACAAAAAGGGACAAGTTCGGAACTGTGGAACAAGGGTGAAGAAAGTCCAACCCACATACAAAACAGGAACCCTTCAAGCATCACTTGGTCTGCATCTAAAGTGGCTGGATGCAGAGAATTCCGTCGCATGTGATGTAGAACCATGCGTGCACTCAGGAGTACCTGGCAACCAAAGCAATGACCACTCTTAACAAAGGTCAAGTGTTGAACCTTTGCAGCAATTTGTCAGCTAATTTGGGAAGAAGGCACACACCCAAAGGAAGCGTTGCCACTCAGGATTCGAATGATTTGTCTGCCACTCGATGGTGTTCCGATCCACGCGGCCCAAGGTCTGCAAAGTTCCATCTGCCCAATGGAACTTGGTCAGCTGTGGCTCATCTGGGTGCTCAATCGAATACCGATGTCCAAAGGCTTTGAAGGACCCGGACTCAACCGTGAAAAATGCGACTTTTCTGCGAGGCCATTGGGCTGAGATCTGGCCTGAACATTGCACCGATGGAGGCAGCACTTTTCTGACAGAGGAGGTTGGAATCAAAGCCAACAGACTAGGCTTGGTTGGAGATTGTGGCTGTCTTGGCAGAGCTACTTGGCCGTGTCCAGCTGCAGGTTGGAGTTCCAAATCTGGATTGGCTCCGTCCACATTTTTCTTCTCTTGGTGGCGCTTCCACAAGCACCCAGCACCAAATGCACCGCAGGACACAAGCAGCAGCACCACAGCTACAGTTACAATTAACAAGGGATCCATGGATGAGTTTGGAGGCGCCACCAGCTTCTCAGTGATGAGGTCAACAGAGTTTGAAGTGCCGGGCGGTATATCCAAGTTGATGGGAGCCTTTGTCGTTGTGGAACCACCCGGGCACCATGGGCAGCTGCTGGGAGGAACACAAAGGCACGTGCCACAGTCGCGGTAGGAGGCTGGGCAGTCAGGTATACTCGAGAGCATACCTGGAGCTGTACCTGTTCTTCGTCTTCTTGGTTGGGAAGGGGAAGGACTGGAGCCACCCGGGCTTCTTCGCCGTGGTTGGGAATCACTTGAGCTACCAGTTCTTCTTCTTGGTTGAGAAGCACTGGTGCTGCCTATCTCCGTATTGGCACCTGTTCTTCGTCTTCTTGGTTGCGAAGGGGACGGACTGTAGCCACCCGAGCTTCTTCGCCGTGGTTGGGAAGAACTTGAGCTACCCGTTCTTGGTCTTGGTTGGGAGGCACCTGGGCACCACTTGCAGGTGCTCGGAAGAACGCAAAGGCACTCCCCGCAGTCGACGTACGAGGCTGGGCAGCCAGGTATACTCGAGAGCACTGGAGCTGTACCTGTTCTTCGTCTTCTTGGTTGGGAAGGGGAAGGACTGGAGCCACCCGGGCTTCTTCGCCGTGGTTGGGAATCACTTGAGCTACCAGTTCTTCTTCTTGGTTGAGAAGCACTGGTGCTGCCTATCTCCGTATTGGCACCTGTTCTTCGTCTTCTTGGTTGCGAAGGGGACGGACTGTAGCCACCCGAGCTTCTTCGCCGTGGTTGGGAAGAACTTGAGCTACCCGTTCTTCGTCTTGGTTGTGAGGCACCTGGGCACCATTTGCAGGTGCTCAGAAGAACGCAAAGGCACTCCCCGCAGTCGACGTACGAGGCTGGGCAGCCAGGTATACTCGAGAGCACTGGAGCTGTACCTGTTCTTCGTCTTCTTGGTTGGGAAGGGGAAGGACTGGAGCCACCCGGGCTTCTTCGCCGTGGTTGGGAATCACTTGAGCTACCAGTTCTTCTTCTTGGTTGAGAAGCACTGGTGCTGCCTATCTCCGTATTGGCACCTGTTCTTCGTCTTCTTGGTTGCGAAGGGGACGGACTGTAGCCACCCGAGCTTCTTCGCCGTGGTTGGGAAGAACTTGAGCTACCCGTTCTTCGTCTTGGTTGTGAGGCACCTGGGCACCATTTGCAAGTTTTGAGAGGAACACAAACGCACGTGCCGCAGTCGTAGAGGCTGGCTAGCCATCTACTTGCGAGGGCACTGGAGCCGTACCTGTTCTTCGTCCTATTGGTTGGAAAAGATAAGGACTAGAGCCACCCGAGCTTCTTCGCCGTGGTTGGGAAGAACTTGAGCTACCCTCATGACAGTATTTGCAAGTAGATAGAGGAACAGCCTTGCAAACACCGCAGTCTACAATCTCCTCAAGGTTCCGGCCATGGACAGTGGCATTCTGGCCAGAAAGCTCCGCAGAAACCACCAAGAAGCCGTACATCCACAGGGCCATGGTGGGGAGTTGGTGGCTCCGGTCGGCCAATCACCAAGCTTTGCTGGCTTTGGGACTTTTATGGGTGATTCCCTAGTCTGTGATGGAAACCCCAAGATGTTTTTTTCGTGAAAGACTTGAGGAATCACATAGTAACACCTCTTATCACTGACCATCAACCAACCATCAGTGATCAATTGAATTCAAAGATATATATCCCCAATTTCTGATGTCAGTTCCGAAATTGTGCGGCTTTCAAGGTGCCACTAACATCCACTGACCATGGTTTTGATGACGCGCATTGTCTCAAAAAGCTTAAATTGACAGCTGCAGAGTCCGACCCACCATTAATTGCGATCTGAACTTGGTGCTTTTCCTACAAATAATATGGAAAAATGATGGAAAATGATGGAAAATGATGATTAACCATTGGATTTAACAGTGCCCCATTTTCAGACAAACCCATTTCACCCCAGATACCAATGAGGTTTTTTCAACGTGTGGCACCGGAAAACCTAGTGGATTTTTGTGGCAGTTTACTCTGCTTTGGCAGGGGGCCCAAAATTTTTGCTTTTATAGCCACGAAGATGGATGAACTAGAAACGTGGAGAGGAAAAGAAACATTTTCAACATAACTTTCACTTGATGCATTTTATCAGAAATCAGGATTTATAATCAGCATGTTGTCAAAATCAGCCTGGATTTAGGCTGCTCCCCGAAGGTCAAATGATATCGCCCTCAAGTAGAGATTTGTTCAAGCCTCCTCCAGCCAAAAGAGAAGCAGTCCTGGCTTCTGGGACCCCCAGCTGTCAAAAACTCATCCTGAGCGACAAGGCAAGTCGTGAAAGCCGTAGCTCTTTTGCCACCGGGAAGGGCTACGCCTAAGGTAGGTACCTACAATGACCTCATTCCGACTCATTCCGAATCTTAGATACGTTGTAAATCTTTTGTTTAAGATGGGTAACATATTCCCCAGTTTCTGGCAAAATATTATTAAACTATCTGGCTACATCCCCTGATACATTCCTCACATCATTGGGACACAATACCAAGCACGACTGCTAAGCAGCCATGTGGCAACCAACAAACCCAGTAGGATTGGTCCCATAGATATTATCACAGGGGCTACAGTAGACAATTTGAGAAACATCATCAAACATCCACATCCGCATCATCAAACTCATGAGAAATCGAAAAAGAACAACAATAACAAAAAAACTATCCACACATATCAAATGATCAGTGAAAAAACATGATAAAGACTCCAGCCCTCACCAAAACTCTCCCCTGAAGTGACGCACCTCACAAGGTCTGAAGAATGGCCTTCAAGGCCATCGTAGATCTGGAATCCTCCTGATGGAAGCATGTTCACAATGAATGTTAATTCAAAGTACAGTTTCCTTGCATGTATTAGCTTGTGTTTGTCTGCCCACTTTAGAATTTTCCCCAAAACATCCTGAAACCAATTCCAAAGCTGTGACAATTACCCGGCATGTTTGTCCTGAGATGTCCATGAATCTGCCTCGCTTTGCCCAATTCATGGTTCATCATATTGCCAAACTCCATGGTAATTTGTGTTTGAAATGCACCAAAATCAGAGGATTGTCCCTAAAATTCGTTGTGTCCAGTCGATCTCCAGATGTTTCATGTCTTTCGCAGCCAAAAAAAAAAGGAACCCCAGCGGTTTCACCATCCAGTTCCCTTGGCCAGCGTCGCAGGTTTCATTGCGCCACAATGTCATATGCGTTTGGGATTTCATATGGGGATACTTAGATTTGCTTTAAGATGGCCCCAACCTGAGAAGGGGGAAAACGAAAGCCAGCATCCCACCTACCCCTATTTTCCCCAAAAAATTTTTCATCCACAGACTTTTCACCCAGATACTTTTCACCCACAGACTTCTCACCCGGAGTCTTTCACCCATACTTCTCACGCATATACTTTTCACCCACAGACGGTTCAACCATACACTCCTCGCCCACTGACTTTTCCCCCATATACTTTTTACCCACAGGTTTTTCACCCACATACTTTTCACCCAGAGACTCTTCACCCAGAGATTCTTCTTGCACAGACTTTTCACCCAGATACTTTTCACCCACAAGCTTTTCACCAACTGACTTTTCACCCACGGACTTTTCACCCACAGGCTTTTCACCCATATATTTTTCACCCGAGGCTGTTCACCCATATATTTTTCACCCAAAGGCTTTCACCCATACACTTTTCGCACACAGACTTTTCACCCACAGACTTTTCACCCACAGACTTTGCACCCTCAGACTTTCACATATATATATATATGGTTGTTGATCAAAATTCCTTTATCCCGGAACGGCCATTCTTCGCGAATAAAAATTTTACTTTCGCGAAACTTTCGCGAACTCCATGTTTATCTTTCGCGGGGCCCATGTTGGCCAACAACACCTCTTATGAAGATTCGTTCACCGCCTGCCAAATTACGCCAGAGAATCACGGATCACTTCTTGGTAGCCTTTTAAACATGCAGCTAGCATCACGGAATCCCTTCTCAGGACAGATTTTTTTTGCAAAGTTTACTGGCCCACCCCCTTCAACATTCACTTTGACTTTCGCCCGCTCTTTCGCATAACTTTCGCGGAACTTTCGCGAAAATATCCCTATTCACAGACCCCGGCCATCAGCAGGGGGTGCACTGAAGGAAAAGCGAAGACCAGGGGCCTTGGTGTTTGGCTCTCGCAAAGCCTCACTTTTGGAAACTTGGCTACTGCTACTCGCATTCTCTGGTGCCCTTTTCCTGCCGGACCCCGGGCGGCAGTGGGTGGCAGCCCTTTACATATAATGATTATAATACCCAACTTTCGCGAAACTTTCGCGAAATAAAATTTTACTTTCGCAAAATCGAAAAAAAACTTTCGCGAGGATTTCCAACATAACATGCACGGCTTTCGCAATTAAAACTCCTTACAAGGACCTTTAGATCGATCACCATATATATATATATATACATTATATTTTTCCCCACATTGACGTGTGGGGTTTTTGTTTTTAGTGCTGTATCCGCTCCGCCTTCTTCCTCTTCCTCCTCCTCCTCCGTCCTCCCGTCCCTCCTCCCGCCTGTCACACGCACACACTCACTCACTCACTCACTCACCCACTCACCCACTCACCCACTCACCCACTCACCCACTCACCCACTCATCCACTCACCCACTCTTCCACTCACCCACTCACCCACTCAACCCACTCACCCACTCACCCACTCACCCAACTCCCCCACCTCACCCACTCACGCCACTCCCCACTCACCCACCCACCACCCCAGCCCAACACTCAACCCCTCACCCCCACTCACCCCTCACCCACTCAACCCCACTACCTCCTCACACATCACCCCACTCACCACACTCACCCACTCACTCAGCCCCCCACCCGCCCCCTCACCACTCACGCCCTCACCCCACCACCCACTCACCCACCTCCCCCCCTCACCCACTTACCCACCACTCTCAATGCAGCTCACCCCACTCACTGCCACTCAGCCCACTC